TTTTGGAGTGGATTCTTTAGGGTTTTTTATGTACAATATCATGTCATCCACAAACACAGACTGTTTAACTTCTTCCTTGCCTATCTGGATGCCTTTTATTTCCTTGTTTTGTCTGTGTGGCTAGGACCTCAAGTACTATATTGAATAAAAGTGGGGGGAGTGGGTGTCATTGTCTTCTTCCCAATCTTAAAGGAAAAGCTTTCCGCTTCTCGCTGTTAAGTATATTGTTGGCTTGGGTTTGTCATATATGGCCTTTATTATGCTGAGGTACTTGCCCTCTATACTCATTTTGTTGAGAGTTTTTATCATGAATGGATGCTGAATTTTGTTGAATGCTTTTTCAGCATCTACTGAGATGATCATGTGGTTTTTGTCGTCCTTTTTGTTGATGTGGTGGATGATGTTGATGGATTTTTGAATGTTCTACCATCCTTGCATCCCTGAAATGAATCCCATTTGATCATGATGGATGATCTTTTCAATGTATTTTTTAATTCATTTTGCTAATATATTGTTGAGTATTTTTGCATCTATGTTCATCATGGATATTGGTCTGTAATTTTCTTTTTTTGTGGTGCCTTTGCCTGGTTTTGGTATTAGAGTGATGTTGGCCTTGTAGAATAAGTTTGGGAGTATTGTCTCCTCTTCTACCTTTTGAAAACTTTAAGGAGGATGGGTATTAGGTCTTCACTAAATGTTTGATAAAATTCAGCAGTGAAACCATCTGGTCCAAGAGTTTTGTTCTTAGGTAGTTTTTTGATTACCAATTCAATTTCTTTGCTGGTAATTGCTCTAAACAGATTTTCTGTTTCTTCCTTGGTCAGCTTTGGAAGGTTGCATTTTTCTAGAAAGTTTTCCATTTCTTCTAGGTTTTCCAGTTTGTTACTGTATAATTTTTCACAGTATTCTCTCATAATTCTTTGTATTTCTGTGGTGTCTGTGGTGATTTTTCCTTTCTCACTTCTGATTCTGTTTATGTGTGTAGTCTCTCTTTTTTTCTTGATTAGTTTGGCTAGGGGTTTATCTTTTTTGTTTATTTTCTTGAAGAACCAGCTCCTGCTTTCATTGATTCTTTCTATTGTTTTATTATTCTCAATTTTATTTATTTCTTCTTTAATATTTATTATGTCCCTCCTTCTACTGACTTTGGGCCTCATTTGTTCTTCCTTTTCTAGTTTCATTAATTGTAAGTTTAGACTGTTCATTTGGGATTGTTCTTCTTTCCTGAGGTACACCTGTATTGCAATACATTTCCCTTTTAGCATGGCCTTTGCTGTGTCCCACAGATTTTGTGTTGCTGAATTATTGTTGTCATTTGTCTCCATATATTGCTTGATCTCTGTTTTTATTTGGTCATTGATCCATTGATTATTTAGGAGCATGTTATTAAGCCTTCATGTGTTTTGGGGCTTTTTTGTTTTCTTTGTGTAATTTATTTCTAGTTTCATACTTTGTGATCTGATAAGTTGGTTGGTACAATTTCAATCTTTTTTGAATTTACTGAGGCTCTTTTTGTGGCCTAGTATATGATCTATTCTTGAAAATGTTCCATGTGCACTTGAGATGAATGTGTATTCTCTTGATTTTGGATGAAGTGTTCTGTAGATGTCCATTAGGTCCATCTGTTCTAATACATTGTTCAGGGCCTCTGTCTCTTTACTTATTTTCTGTCTGGTGGATCTGTCCTTTGGGGTGAGTGGTGTGTTGAAGTCTCCTAGAATGAATGCATTGCATTGCATTCTATTTCCCTCTTTAATTCTGTTAGTATTTGTTTCACACATGTAGGTGATCCTGTGTTGGGCGCATAGATATTTATAATAGTTATATCCTCTTGTTGGACTGACCCTGTTATCATTATGTAATGTCTTTGTCTCTTGTGACTTTCTTTGTTTTGAAGTATATTTTGTCTGATATAAGTAGTACAACTCCTGCTTTTTTCTCCCTGTTAGTTGCATGAAATATCTTTTTCCATCCCTTTACTTTCAGTCAGTGTATGTCTTTGGGTTTGAAGTGAGTCTCTTGTAGGCAGCATATAGATGGGTCTTGTTTTTTAATCCATTCAGTGACTCTATGTCTTTTGATTGGTGAATTCAGACCATTTACATTTAGGGTGGTTATCGAGAGTTATGTACTTATTGCCATTGCAGGCTTTAGATTCATGGTACCAAACGTTCAAGGGTTATTCCCTTACTATCTAGCAGTCTAATTTAACTCACTTCATGCTATTACAAACACAACCTAAAGGTTCTTCTTTTATTTTTTTCCTCTTTTTTCTTCCTCCTCCATTCTTTGTATGTTCTGAATCATATTCTGTGCTCTTTGTCTATCCCTTTGGTGACATCTATTTAGCCTTAGGAATACTTCCACTTATAGGAGTCCCTCCAAAATGCACTGTAGAGGTGGTTTGTGGGAGGTAAATTCTCTCAATTTTTTCTTATCTGAAAATTGTTTAATCCCCCCTCCTTCAAATTTAAATGATAACCTTGCTAGGTATAGTATTCTTGGTTCAAGACCCTTCCGCTTCATTGCATTAAATGTGTCATGCCACTCCCTTGTGGCCTGTAAGGTTTCTGTTGAGAAATCTGATGATAGCCTGATGTGTTTTCCTTTGTATGTGATGTTTTTTCTCTATCTGCTTTTAAATGTCTGTCATTATCCTTGATCTTTGCCATTTTAATTATTATATGTCTTGATGTTGTCTTCCTTGGGTCCCTTGTGTTGGGAGATCTGTGCACCTATATGGCTTGAGAGACTATCTCCTTCCCCAGATTGGGGAAGTTTTCAGTAATGATCTCCTCAATGACACTTTCTATCCCTTTTTCTCTCTTCTTCTTCTTCTGGTTACCCCTATAATATGAATATTGTTTTGTTTGGATTGGTCACACAGTTCTCTCAATATTCTTTCATTCTTAGAGATTCTTTTTCCTCTTTGTGCCTCAGCTTCTTTGTATTCCTCTTCTCTAATTTCTATTCCATTTACCGTCTCTTCTACTACACCTAATCTGCTTTTAAATCCCTCCATTGTATGTTTCATTTCAGATATGGAATTTCTTAATGATTGAATCTCCAATTTAAATTCATTTCTGAGTTCTTGAATATTTTTCTATACCTCCATAAGCATGTTTATGATTTTTATTTTGAACTCTCTTTCAGGCAAATTGGTGAGTTCGGTTTCATTAGGCCCTTTTTTGGGGGTTTGTGAGATTTTGGTTTGAACCATGTTCTTTTGATGTTTCATATTTCTGTGTGGTGCCCACTAGTACCCAGAAGCTCCAGTCTCTAGAGCTGCTCAGCCCCTAGAGTGAAGCTAGTGTTCACAGAGGAGTGGAGCTGTTGCCTGGGGAGAGGAAAGATCTGTTACCTGATTCCCATCTGTGGTGCCTGTCTCAAGTGTCAGAGCCAGTGGGCCAAGCACACAGGTGTAAGCCTCTGTGCTTTGCATCTATAGCTGTTGTAGGCTGAACCTCCTTCTGGCTGGCCTGTAGCCAGTGCGGTGATTGCCAGTTTGCAAACCGGTGCGGGTAGTCTAGGAGGAAGGCGCGGCAGGCTGTGTGTCAAAGTGGGGGGCCTTGGAGCTGAGTAGGCAGCCAGGGGGATTGGGCACCTGAAGCTCTTCAACGTTCCTAATCAGCTGGGCAGAGTGCGCCCAGACAACCTTGTCCAGCTCTCCCCTCCCGGTGCAGTGAGCTCCATGCAAACCCCACTCCTTCAGCAGCCCTCTCACTGCTAAGAAGCCTCTCAAACTGCCTACCTTTCCTTTGCCCCAATGTGGCTGTGTGTGGATCCCCTCCTCCACAAATGGCCACAATCTGTCTCTCAAGCACTCCTTCTGTCTGAGCTCCCCAGTGTCCAGAGCACCACAAAGTGTAGGTTTCTGCTCCCAAAGCAGACCTCCAGGGCTCAGTGTTGAGCAGTTCTGGGCTTCTACCCACTCCCCCGCTCTCTTTCTCTTCCTCCCGCTGGTGAGCTGGGGGTGGGGAAGGGCTTGGGTCCCACCTGATAAAGATTTTCATATGTTACCCTGTGTTCGTGAGGTCTGCTCTGTTCGTGAGGTCTGCATGCAGTCTGGTTCAGCCTTCTTTCTTGTTGCTGTTTTAGGGTTAGTTGTAGCAATTAACTCTATTTTCATACTATTGTAGTTTGCGGAGGAATTCTCCGTCTCACCTCTCATGCCACCATCTTGAATCTCCCAGTTAGGTTTTTTTTTTCCAAAGAGGTTATGGTACAACTGATCAGATTTCTGCTTTCTCAGCCTTTCTCCCTGAGATGTGTCTAGGTCGCCACAAGTGGATTTTTGCTGGTGCTCAATCATGCATTCATAGATATCTTTTTTACATACATATACCATTGGATTGATTCAGGTTTGTAAGAGATTCCTTGTATTAATTAAGCAATGGCTTCAAACCCATCAACAGATTCATTTAGTTTAGCTCTTTCTCATCAGTGCAGAGAGAACCCAGCAGCATCTCATTGGTGTTGGAAACTGTGGATTACGTTTTTAGGGCAACATTTCTCCCAGGATCATTTTTTTCCAACTTTGGACTGGTGCTTTGGTCTACCTCCAAGCCCCTGATGGAAAAATTTTTATAGTCCAGACAGATGCCCTGCCTAGGAAATGCCTAGAAAAATAGGCACATTTAAGTAAGGAGCCAAAGGGGAAAATGAGGGGCAAAAGAGAAACTCCCAGATGAGAAAAATGGTTTTGAAATCTTTCTCTAGACAAAAAAGTAAATATTTTTAAACTCCCAGAAAGATGTCAGCCTTTACATTCTAAGCACCAGGGCATTCTGGGTAGATATAAATTGTCTCTGATTGACACTTTCAATAAATGTTTCTTTAAAAAGACTGAGTTTTAGAAGTGTAACATAAGGGTCTCCTGTCAGTCTTAGAGGAATCCAAACTGTTACCTGAGACCATATTTTTAGTGTCCTTCAATATGAAGTTCTTCAAGTTCATTAAGTTAGTTGTAAAAGGATGTTTCTCAAGTTGGAGATGCTTACCTTCATTAACTTCATCATTTTCTTTGTCTACTTGTGCTTTCAGAACATACCGCTTTATAAGTCTTTTCATTATCTGCTGTTGGATAAAAAGAAATGACTATATCACCAATGATACACATAAATAAACTGGATCTATTCTCCAAAGAGCCCTACATACCTGTAAAGCAAGCACAATTCAGGGGAGAGAAATTTTATATAACTATTCATAGAAGTATCAGCCAGATTTCAGAGCTTAATCCTTTTTCACCTACTACTGAGTCTTAACTGCATAATCCCCATTCCCCTCAACTCCAATGGAAGAAGCTTTAAAAAAGTTGGAAGATTTCAATTCGCAGTTTCTTTCAACTAATGATTTCTTTTTAAGGTATGTCGATACTACATTATCATGTATAGATACTACCTTATTTCTCACTGTTTAAAAAAGTATATGACTATATGTTCAATACAGAGAATTTGGAAAATACAGAGAAGAACAAAAGAAATAAATGAAGTCATCAATTATCTCACTATCCAAAAATAATCACTGTTGTCATTTTGGTGCCAATATCTTTTTTTTCAATTGCATATATACTAATTACTATGTATTACATTTTATGTTTTCTAAATACCATATATTCTATTATAGTATATGCTTTCTTCTTGTAGCAATATATATTGTGAATATATTTCAGTCTAAACAAATGCTCTTATAGGATAATTGTTAACCACATGGAAAAAATTAGAGCCCTACTTCATACCATGCACACAAAAATTAATTCCACATGCATCTGAAATATGAAAGACAAACCTTTTAAATAATTTAAAAGAAAGTAAAGGAGAAGATATAAGTTCAGTATAGAGCTGGATGTTTTTAAAACAAGATAAAAATTCTAATTACAGTAGAACAGATCAATAAATTCAACTTCATTACAATTAAAATGTCATTGAAACTTCTATTTATAACGATACCATACGGAAAGTGAGAAGGCAAGCTACATACTGGGAGAAAATATTGGCAAAACTTATAACTGATGAAGAATGTGGATCCAAAATACATGAGGAAATTTAATTCAATAAGAAAAACTCAATTAACCCAATAGAAAAAAAAACGGGCAAAGACAGACATTGCACAGAAATGGGAATATGAATGGTCAACAAACACATAAAACAACCTCAAACACTTTTCTTGGAAAATACATATTGCAATTAAAAGGAGATATAATTTTAGATCTAAAAAGCAAAAAATAAATCTTATAATGCCAAGTGTTGGAAAGGACATGAATCAATGGAAACTATTACACTGTATAGGCATGAGTATAAATAGACAGCTTGGAAAAGCAATTTGGCATTATTTTTTAAAGATGACATTTGCATACGCTTTCACCAGAGAATCCACTCTTATGTACAGAGCTCAGAGAAAGTTTACTATGTGGAACAAAAGACAGAAACAACAACGTTTATAGCAATCTTGTCCAAAACAGAAAAAGAAAGGCAAAACAAAACTGGAAACAATCTAAACAAATATCAAGGGGAAAAAAGACAAAGTATGGTATACCATACAGTGTAATGCCGTGGTGTTCATTAATGAAATTAATTAATGAAGTTAGTAAGCCATAGTCACAGCAGTACAGCTAGATCTTAGAAGCATAAATGTTGAATGAAAAATTCAACTTGTGGACTTTACAAGCATGAAACTATTCTTATAAAGCTCAATAACAAGTAAGTCTACATAATGCTTTTTAGGACTATCTCTATATGCAATAAGCCTATATTTGAAAAGAAAACTAGAGCAACAGAATGAGAAACTTCTGGATAGCAATTACCCCTTAGGAGGAGGCAAGGGGTTGGGCTAGAGAGCAGCAGCCAACTAGAGGCAATGAAAAGATAATGTTACCATTTTCAGGCAACTGGGGGCTTCGGAGATATGCCTGTGATTATAATTTATTATGTGTTATGCACATTCGTATGCATATATCAATATCACATTAAAAATATATAATAAAGAAAAGGGGAAAAAAGGCTTGAGCTAAAATGAAGGTATAGTCGGAATGGAAAGTACATGTCAATTTTAAAGAAGCAGAAATTAATGAAGCTAAGTAACCCATTAGATGTCAAAGTCAGTAAAAGGGAAAAGTCTAGGATTATTCAAAATTTCTGGAGGAAGCTCAGGCTATTGAGAAGGAAAAGTCGATTTTTCCAGTTACAGTAAAATAGAAAACCTATTGAATTCTGTGGAATCTAGACCCCAGGGAAGACTCAGGGTAGATCTTGGTGGACTAATTCATTCATTCACCAAATGTTTACTGAAAGCCAACTCTGAGGCAGGTACCATACTAGGTGCTGGGGAAGCAACAGTGAACACAGTTCCTACACCAGGAAATTTCACTGGAAACATTCACTATGATGATGGAACATGTCAGGGATCTAATTAAATTTAGGGGACAGTGAAGGCAGATTCTTATAGAAAGAAAATACAAAGAAATATGTATCAGTTAAAAGCAGCTTGAAAGACAGTTACACAAATTGGTGGGAAAGAGAAGACTACCAAATAGTGGTGAGACAACATACTATCCATATGAAAAGTTCTAATTAGATCTCTACCTCACATTATATATAAAACACTTTTTAAAAAGTCAAATGTACAAAAGATATAAACGTGAAAAGCAAAATTTTGAAATGAATAGGGAAATATTTCTTGGAAAAGATAAAGGAAAGGATAACCTAGAGGAAAGGATTGATAAATCTGACTATTAAGACATTTTACAACTTTTTACATGAATGGGGTTGTAATGAATGTAACCCTATACCTTATAAAAACTTTAGCTGATAGAGAAACTGAGAATAACTCAGGGATTATAAGGGTCTTGTTTAGAATCAATCAGAAATGTATTATTCAGAAACCCTATCTATACAAAAAATAAAACTGCTTAAAAATTTAGGTGAAGCAGAATGGGTTTGTAGTAAAATTTTTTTTTTAAATCTCTGAATTTGCCCTTTATTAACTGAACTTAAGGTGCTTAAATTATCTAAGCTCCCATTTTCTCATCTATAAAATAGGGGCAATAAATACTCTTAAAGGATTGTGCAGGTTATATAATTAAATGCATATAAAAGCCTAGCTCCTGCTTTGAAAAACTTAGTTCTTGTAAATATTGTTTATAAAGTTTCAAGACTAAGATATCACTACCCACATTCCTTAATACCATATTCTGTAAAATATTACTTAACATTATCCAAAACTATGCTTACAAAACATCCATGAAAACTTACATTTACTGCCAGAAAGGAAGATGATAGGAAAATAAAATATAGTTTTAAAGTTCACATGGAATTCAGGTTCCCTAGAAACATCTTGTACAAAGCAACTCAGATTAAAGTCCCTCATTGAAGGGATTAAACAAATATGTAAGCATATTCATCTTCATTTCATCTTTAAACTACAAGGAAAATTATGGTTATGGGTACAGGCTTAAATTCTTTCCCTTCAATATTCAGTGTGTTTTAAGCTTCCCATACATCCCACAAAAATTTTCCCCTTAATATTTATTACTTAAATATACTTAGTCACCACTGCACTAAATTTGAGCTTCTCAATAAGGCAAGAAGACATCTGATGTTGGGCTGAAATCACTATTTTCACAGGTAATAGTTCATCCTTAGTTCATGCTGGAAAGATAACTCATGTGAATTCCAAAATGACAGGCAGCTCAGAGAAGGGGCAAAGTTAGCCATTTGTACTCTATTAGGTAGCCTGTATGGTGAATCTTAGGCGGTACTGCTTAGCCATTAAGAAAGCAGGCTGCAAGCACAAATCACCTGGATTTGAATGTGACTCCATTATTTACAAACTGTAGAACGTTGGTGACCTACTCTATATAATGGAAATGTTAGAATCTTACTTGTAAAAGATATAATACAGGCAAATTATATAAATGTAGGTAAATTATTTATAATACAGGTAAATAGTAGGTACTCAATTAATCTAACTATTATTCTCTCATTATCATTTATGCTTCTGTAAAGCAAATCTTGATAAGCTGTTCTTCATAATGATGGTGCTATAAGCAAGGATCATGAAACTTATGAGATGAATAACATTACCATTAACTAAATTTCCAACTGATTCTTTAATCAAAACCAGTACCAAAAATTTAATTGACCAATAACAGATTCATCTTTTCCCCTTCTTGGTCAAATTGCTAACTAATGCACTAGAAGTCTAGAGCTTAACTTCCACATTCCACAAACCCCCAATAATTCTTCAGATTTCTTTGTATGATACAGTGAATCATTCTTTAAGGTAGACAGAGTGGCTTTGTAGAGTGTCTATGGATTTTCTCTGTCCATGGTATGGCAAGCTTGCTTGGTAGTTACCTAAACACTACCTTTTGCAAACAAATCTAAATTCACTTCTCAGCCATTAAGACTGGGAAAAGGACTGAGATGTGGTGCTTGGATATGTGGGCCAGTCCTTCCTTCCCTAATAGTATCAAAGCTTTTCTTTTCACTTGCTCATTTTTTACTCATTCAAATTCAACTAACAATTGCTAAGTACTCTTTTGGGTACTTTAACATTCCTTTTCTCATTTAATACTCCAGAGAAGCCAAATTTGACTATCATCAGTAGGTCCTATAATATGAATATGAAGAATCTACAAAGTATAAATGTAAGGTAATGAGACTGATTTGGGCCAACTTAAAGAACTAGAAGTAGAGAGTAGAACTTTAGAGAGGGGAGGGACCTTGGAAGTTACGTATCTTTCAGATGTTCATGACTCATTATGAGATGCCCTGACAGATCACCATTGCACAGTCTCTGAATAAACATCCATGATTGAGAGCGTGCTCTTCCCAAACAGCTGCTGAAATCTATTATTCGATAACTGTAGCTATAAAAGAAACAATACAAATTGTGCCAAAATCCATTTCACTATACCTTCTAACCACTGGCTCAAGTTCTGTTCTCTAAAGAAACAGAGAATTTAAATTCATTTTTTCCTCTGCTTGATTGTCTTTCAAATGTTCTCCTCCTTGAGGTTTCCCCAAGTTTCCATACCATTTTATTTATATTTCACCTATACTGCACAGCTGTTAGGCAGGAAAACAGATATGAGAGGGGTGGAAAGACATTAAGGCCCATAAGCCCACTAGAAGGGACTCAAAGAGTTAACCAGTTAAAAAATAGAAAGCTTGAAGGCCAGGAGCAACTTGACCTAGAAGTTTGAATACTCTCCAGATAAAGAAAAGTATCTCAGCATAGCCTATGTTTCACTGTGTCAATTAGAACATGTACTTTAGCACCTGCTAAAAGGCCCAGCTTATTCAGGAAAAATTCTATCTTAAAGCTAAGACTGCATTTTAATCAAATGGATGGTGGTTCAGCCCACATTGGAGGCAAGGCAGACAGTCTTGATTGATATGCTTCCAGACAGAAGCTGATATCCTGGAAAGGAATCAAAGCAGTATATTTCTTGTGTTAAGTAAAAAAAGAAGAAACTTAATGTCTTATCAAAGATGAACATTCTGAGACCATTTGGCAGGTACACACCTGGCCCTCTGTCACTTCCCTGAAAATCCTCAACCACCTTTAAAACCCCAGACCCTAAACCTTTCAGTGCGCTCCTCTCTCTGAGGTCGCCCGCACTTTCTAAGTGCATAGCCTTAAAACTTTATCTCAACCTTTCAGCACACCTCTTCTATGAAGTAGCTCACACTCCCCTTTCTCCAAGTTGCACTTGATTTCTTTAAATAAATCCTAAACCTTTCAAGGTGCCTCTCCTCCCTGAGGTTGCCCGTACTTTTTCTCTCTTCAAGTAACTCCAAATGAAACTTGTACCCTGCTTCATTACCATGTCTCTGTCCTTCAATTCTTTGTTGTGGTGGGGGACAAAACGAGGAAAATACACAATGCCTCCCCTAACACAGCCATATCACAGGGTTGTGTGAATGTTCACCTACTTTCTTTTCTTCCCTTACTCCCCACCTCAGTGCTGCCCTTCCATTTCAGGTGAGAGATCTTTGAAGGCATGGACTGTATATCTGTGTCCTAACCTGGGACCATGCATAATCAAGGGTGTCCTGAATGTCTCCTGAAGCTCACTGTGAGTGGAACTTAATGTGAATGCCTCATACAAGCCTCCGCTAGAGAAAAATCGCTATGTTCTTCCAGTAAAACCAAGCCAGTTACAGTAGCCTTCATGGATTGGGCTGGATACCACCATATGGGCCAAAGATAGTCCCAAGGTAGTCAAAGATGGCCCAACACTATCTGGGCCAAAGGTGTTCCCAAGCCAAAGACAGCTGTTAAAGCAGAGCTGCCACAAAGACACCAGAGTGAATAAGACCCAAGAAACTACAGCCCAACTTCTGTGGGATCTTACAAAAAGTTCCCATGACACCTTAGCATATCTATGTACTTTTAACTTGAACTAGCACAAATATTCATCAGCAGAATTCAATCATAGCTATCCCTCCAAGTCTATGTTCTCCAGAAAAATCATCCCTAGCTTTTCAACAACTTCATTACACACATAACAAAAATTACCTCAACATGCTAGTAGTAATCAGTGTAAATATAAATAATACTGCCATCAATGAAAGCATTTTTGAAACTCTTCCTCTGTTGCACCTGGAGGCACATTGGAATCTCTGTCTTTGAAGTAATTGTATTAGAGAGGAAACACTCATTTGGGTGCAAAACACACAAGGTGAACTGATTGGTGATAGCCCTGGGTTTTTGAAGGTGGATACAACTTTTTTTTTAATTGAGGTACATGCATTAAAATGCACAAATCTTAGTATGTACCTTGATGAATTTTGACATGTGGATGTGACTATTTTAGAAGAAAATATAAAGTCACAAGGCATTGATTCTTATTAATAGGGTGAATAATGAGCTGAGTTCAGTAATGAGAAAAAATAAAGCAAAAATTGTGACATATATACTAATTATAAAAGTAATTTTTTAGAGATTTTCCTAAAATATGCAAAGCTGTGGTAGCACATCAAAACTAGTATATCCCAAAGGTCACCACACTGAAGGAAAAGTCCCCATTTAGCCAATTAAGATCTGGAATTTCTTTAAGGTAAGTCATACTTCATACTGCATGAAACAAAAATCCATGACAACTAAACCAACTGTTATTATCACTCACAGAGTTCATAATAAAGACATTTCATCTAAATGTAAGCAAGGCATTTCTATGACATTTGACTGGTGTGCAAATTTTGAGAGCTAACTAAGACTTTTCCCCTCAGTTTCTTTTTCTCTGTCACTTTTTGAGAGCCATACTTCCATCAGTAGAAGACTGATACATTAAATACAGCCACATCATGGAATATAATGTATCGATTAAAAGTAAGGTTTTGACACTCAGTGTGCCAAGAAATTTTGCAGAATTTGCAGCGTCCAAGAGAACTGTGTGAAGAAGACAATTATACCCATTAACTGACATCACTCGTCATTATAAATCACTTGATCCACATTCTTGTGATCTTGTACATATCAGGAATCTAAAGATTTGACATCCAAAATGATCAACCAGATAGAAAACAGAGGATTATATAACCTCTTCTGAGGTGGAAAATAGTGTTCAAATGTTACATCCAACATCACAATGCAAAAGATATTTTAAAGTAGTATTGATGAAACAGGATAGCCTGAGAATCTATTTGACAATGAATTACTTGGAGAAATGTATCAAGTCTTCATACTGCAAGAGGATTATTCTCCTAATATCCCATTTGTCCCCCTGGTTTCTCCAGCTCAAGGTACGTGAAAGTGTTCTTTGGAAATTGTGGCAATTCTTTGCTTTCAATATTGCCAAGTAATTTTCTTCCTCTACAAAAAATTGAAGGACTTGGACTCTGATTTCCTAAGGCCCCTCCAATTAAGATACTAGTTTCTTAGTTTTGTTCCTCCCTCATAGTCCACCAAAAGAATATAATTCTACTCTCTACTCAGACACCCACATACACACACATGAACACAGAGAACATATATGGAATTATATACAGATAAAGAGGTATGTCTAATAACGCTTACCTGGTAACGTGTCGGCTGATTGAGAATGCTGTTAAAACTGTGTGACTCAAAAACTCTTGAGTTAGACTGAGTGAAGAGGTTTAACTAGGAAAAAATACAATTAACCTAGTAAATTAGAATACATTTTTTATTTGGAAATCAAAAATAAATAATTACTTTATTCTCCTTGATTACATTTCTGAAGTCCACATTTCCAAGGAACATTTTGTGGAAGTTGAATTTTGTAAGTGATTTAATATATTTCCAAAAATAAAAATTAATGTGAGCAACATGCCCACCTGTGTCAAAATGCTGGCAAGATGTACGGTAGTAAAACAGTGTAATTGAAAAAGTGTTTTAAAAACTTAGCTTGTGCCGAACATAATTGTTCCTGGGGACCTTGCATACTTATTGAAATGTATCCACGACATCTAGAAGGTGAAGTTGTATAGAAGCGAATCTATCTGCTTCTGAGCCTATGTTCCTCTCCTATAGTTGAACAGAAATACACCACCAGTTTGGATGGTATCATTTCGTATTTTGTAACATTATATGAGCCAAAATAACAAGTCTTCCTAAGTACCTTGGCATTATGCTGAGCCAGGTTCACGATTTCGGAGAGACTTGGGCTAAAGAATTTTGGTTTTCTTTTTCTTTGCTCTCTATTTTAAGGTTTAATTTTTCAGTGGGTAGAACAGGAAGCAACAGAAGTGTACCACTACTGTTTACCCCCATGCAAGAGCAGGGCCTCCCTCTTATTTTCAGGCAAGCTGCTTACCTATGAAGTCTGATTCAAAGGCAGGGCCCCCTACCCAAAAATATGTATTCACCACACTACCCGACTTCCCACCATCACAACTCAGGTAGGCGTGGGATCTAGGGAGGAAGGAAGTGGCACCTATAGGCAAGGGCCATCCTGGCCTGTTCTCAAAATCATGCCAGGAAAATATTTTGGCCAACAGAGTTAATTCTCCGTTTTGTCACTGGAGGTCAGTATCTGATTGTTGACTGAGGTTAGCTGAACAGTTTGGCAAAGATTTCTTGAGGCTCCTTCCTCTCTTCTAAAACAGAAACAGAAACATGATTTCTCCAAAATTTTACTAAATTCAGTACACAGAGAGTATTTGTGAATATGAATAAGGCTGAAGAGATTTAAGCAGCTCCATGTAAAATTTGAAAAATAAAATTGAAACGGCAGTTTTTAACCAGATATGGTAAGACTGGGAAGCCAAAGGAGAGTGGCTCCTGAGAGTCAGCCCCACCTTCCTTCTATTTCCAGCAGCCTTTCTGAAGAAAGCTATTCTTCCTGCCAGTGCAGAGGACAGGGCACCTGACTTGGAGCACTTCTGCTCCCTTTGCTTTGCTCTGAGCAAGCTGCCTTTCCTTTATGGGGGTCTAGGTAGCCACAAGCCATCTGGATATGCTCTTCTTAAGCTGAGTTCAAATCTGTCCCCTTCTACATTATGATGGTGTCAGGAATAATGTCAGTAAGATCAATTGTCCATAGAAAGAAAACTTTAAGGTGTGAAGTTAAAGTGCAGGAGCTACAACGACTTCTCATGCTGGAGAGGTTTCCTTTTTAAATAACAAAGCTTCAGTTAGTAAATCCTGAGAGCAGCAAAGCGCCATCAAAACAAAGTCAATTTCAGCAGGAGCAGGAGTTGCCCAGGACGGATACTGAGAGCCTGGCCCCTTGAAGGGATGGGCTACTCTGCAGCAGAAGGTACAGGCCTTGCTGAGGAGGTGTAGCAGCCGCAGAACAGGAGGCAGCTAGGTGCAGTAAAAGAGTGAGGCGTCTGAGGCTGGAAAACTCCAATTACGCACCAACCCCACACTGGCTAGACCCTGTGACCTCGAGTAAGCAAGTTACTTTTATAGCTTCAGTTGTCTTATCTATAAAATGGGAATAATAATAATACCTACCTCACAGTGTTGCATGAGGTTCAAATGTACAGCAAAGCACTTTGTAAACTGTGAATGAGGAAGGGCACTGACATTTGTTCAGGCTGTAACTTGTACATCTCAGACCATCCTTGCAATAACCCTATGAAATTTTCTCTCTTTCAGATGAGACAATTAAGGCTCAGAGGATGAAGTGACTTCCCCATGTTACTTGCAAATAAGTCATAAGCATCAGAATTCAAATCCAGGTCTAACACCGAAGCTCTCTTCCTTACATTGTACTGCTTCTCACTGTATACATACAGGGCATTATCTGAAGTCATGGGACGGCACAGCCAATCCCTGCCCTGCAACCTCATAACCACAAGAGCCCACATCCTGGTCAAATAAAAAAAATTCAAAAGAAATAGAGAAATAAGATGTAATAAATCATAATAAAGAAATTCTTCTTAAGGAAATAAGATGCCAGGATATTACAAACCTTGGGAATGCACATCCATTTTAAAAAGTGAGAAATTAAATTGCACTAATCCAGTCTTTTTTTCCCCAGCTTCAACTGAGAAAAAATACCTACCTCTGTTCAGGAAGGCCTGTGCTTTAAGGACATAGCATTGTTATCTGTGGGCTCCCAGGGTGTGATGGCTGTAGACCATTACCCCAACTTCAGGTAAAAATTATATTTTAACCCTACACATTTGCTCCTATCTTCCTTGCTCCCTATTACGTGAGGTTCTGCCCAATCTCCTTCTGTTTCCTATACCAATACTTTCTCTGAACATTAAGTTCATGATAATAAAGTTACCATGAAGCTCATTTTTGTTAAAAGTATGACCCAACTGGGACAACTAAAGGACAAACCATCCTTGATTATTTATAAAAGGGATATTTATTATTAAGATTTGAGGATGCTCTTAGGCTTGTATTAATTTTACAACATTAAAAGAAAAAGATAATTTAGCCCAATAAAGGGTTTCTACAAATAAAAAGAAAATGGTGGTGGTGAACTATACACAACCAAGAGGGAAATGTGAGGAGCAACAGTTGAGAAGCATGGAGCACAAAATAGACAATAACTTTTCTGTTTACTTTGACAATTTGAAAAAATTTTTGCTTGTTTTTAGTCTGGTAGTTTACATAAAATTTTGACCAAAAGCAAGGCATAGACTAAGTGACTTCTTGAAAACCAATGAAAATATTAAGTATTAGTCTATGAAAGACTATGGAATAGACAGTTAACTTTCAACATCATCTAAGTTCACATGTAAAAATTACTGAACTAACATCAAAAGACAAGGAGAAAGACAAAACATTTATCTTAGGGTCTTTGTAAATTTTCAATACCTACCCTGGACTTTGAGTTACCCATTCCCATTTCTATATCCTTCTGCAGCCGTCTCCTTCTGCATTTGGAAAAATTAATGATCCGCATGATGAAATAAACAAATGACTTTGGACTTGGAACCAGACTGAAGGGTGGAGGTAATGTTTTTCCATCATCAAAGTAAGATAACCAAAGTTTTGAGCGAGCAAACTTCCATTCTACGTCACTGTCATCCTGTGTCACAAAAACAGAAAAGAAGTAAGAACTCATTTAAAACACTAAGTATTTTAGTAGTTTATTCCAGTAGGGTCTTACAATGAAGCTAAATTATGCTTTTGAAAGAGTAAGTAACTTATATACATGTATCTGCATATAGTTTCTATGGACTTACGTAGTATTCTGAGTATCACTCTGGTGATACTCATTTTTTTTTCTCTTCCATATGCCTCTGTCTGTATTCACTAAATTTGAGAATTTCCTGTCCTCCATCCAAAAAAACCCAAAGCAAAAACAAAGGACAACAAAACATGAAAAGATTAATTCATCCCTACCACCCTCATCAATTCTGCACTTTCAGCATTTTCTATTCACCTTCCCTTCTCACCTAGACACATCCAAGCCAGGTTGTACATCATATTATACTCCAAGTGCAAAGGAAAAATAAAAAAGCACTCAGGTGAGTTGCACTTTGGAGTATATGTCTCTGTCATATGACCTCAAATGTCACATAAGGCCCTCAGTAGCCTATTCCTGTCTTCTATCTCTTTTGTCCTTACTGCTGCCCGATGGATGGGCAGAACCATCCCAACAGGCAGAAAGAATGGAGAGGAGGAAGAAAGAGAGGCCCAGGGGTTGAAGAAGTTGGCTCCCATTTCACCCCACCCAGACTGCCGTTAGCACACCTAAGCAGGTGTTCTGAGTACCATGGGTCTCATTTCTGGAGGACTTAACTTCTGCTTTGAGAACACCATCTTATGTGTTTCTAAAACACACCAAGAGACTCAGTGGACTTTAAAACAGCAAAGCCCTAAAGAGACACTGAACATTGAACTGGAGGACGTAAGAAAACATATATACAATGAGGGAAGGAACCTGGCCAAGACCAATCCAAGACAGAAAGTAAAGTGACTTCCAGAACACTAAAGATTCTGGCTGGATAAAGAACATTATCAGTATCTGCCAGACATCTAGAAATTCTTCTACTAGAATCTTTCAGAGAGAATAATTTTCCTACAGCCACTGATTTAAAAACTTCTGAAATGTACTCTGAGAGAAGGCAGTGTGATGGTAAATTCATGTGGGCCCCGACTGTGTTCCTAGGAGCTGTATGACCATCTATCCAGGCAGCAAATACCAAGAAAGGCTCAAGTTCTCTCAGTGTGGGGAGAAGCCTCTTTGTTTACATGAGCTGGAGCTCCCCCAGAGGGCATAAAAGCAGATGGAGTTTCCTCTTAGAACAGGATGGCAAAGATACCATGGATAGAAAGCAGGCTTACCTCAATTTCTTGATATGAGCTATTAATCATAGCAATTAGCATGTTGAGTAAAACTACCACCATAGTTACATTATATATTCCATAAAGAACGTATCCAATATTTTCTATGAATTTGTGATCATATTTGAGCACAACAGAAGTCACTTCAGACAACCCAAATATAGACCAAAACAAAGTCTTGAAACTTTCTTCTACACTGTAAAAAGAATAAGGGACACAGTAAATAAATTAACAGTTTTTAGTATTAAAAATATGTTAGGGTCTGAATACTGTACAGATATAAAACGTCATCATAAAATACCATCATAATAAACCCTGAGCACAATTATTTTATAATAGTATTTAATAGTAGTCATCCTATTAGGTTTTCAGGAGCTGTGTTTAAATGGTGCCTAGGTTTTCTGTAAATTATAATCCGGTAAAAATTCTCTGAACTCAACAAGGGAAAACTGAAGTCATGCCATAATACTCATTCCTTTCTCCTAGAAGGATGTTAGTTTGGGGTTTGATTTTGTAGGTGGTTTAGAAATTTATATCAGGGTTTCTTGAGAAGAACAAGGTCAGGACTAATATTGTATACCCACTTCAAAAAAAGTATGTACAAACATAATTCTTGAGGTATGGCTATAGGGAAGAATGAAAACAACCTAAATACCCAGCAATGGAGGAGTGGGTAAATAATTCTGGTACATCAATCTAATGGATTGCTATGCAGCCACTAGTGAAAAATGAGACAGATTCATCCTCATGTGTTTATTAAAATAATATCTGAGATATACTATTAAGTGGACAAAATAAGATGTGGCAAGTGTGGAATAGTCTACCATTTGAATAAAAAAGGTATACTAATACTTATATTCATGTTTATGCAAAAAAGTATCTCTGAAAGTATCCAAAAGAAGCCATTAACTCTGGGAACTGAGAACTAGGACACTGGGGTCCAGGGTGAGCCAGGGGACAGGCATTTCACTGTAGACACTGCTCTACATGAATTTTTGCCACAAGAATGTATTACCTACCTAAGCATTATGCTTAACTGGAAATGGAGAGGAGGCAGCAGAATGAGAAATTCCTGTGTTTTTTTCCCTTAATTTACATAATCTAGTTCCTTATTCGTCCATCACAGCAATTAGTATTTAGGCTCTCACCAGACAAATTACCCACTTAGATCCCTTAAATGACCTTTGCCAACTGAATTTGGCTGGTTTTGTCATATAACCAAGTTGTAATCACTGATATGTGAAGAGCAATAATAATCCTTAAGTAATTACACATGTAGAATTCCATAATAAAGGAGGTTTCACAAGTTTAAGTCCTCTTTTCAAAGACAGATTTATGGAAATAATACATTTTTTGATGTGTTATAAGATTCTAAATAGCAGTTCTATAGATTTGTAGGTTTTAGTACTAGTTTATTAATTAATTCACTCATTCAACAAATGTTGGTGTAGCACCTATTATGTTCTAGAACATGTACTAGACCCCAGGAATAGAGGGCTGAATAGAAGGTTCCTTTTCCTATAGAGTTATGCTATAATGAAACATTCATCATGTGATGTTACCACATAGATGCTATAAGGAGACTAAGAAAATCCATAATCTCTTTGTTTCAACATTAATTTTAACAGATCACAAAATTCTCTGACTCCTTTCTCCAGCTCCTTTGCAAAACTTTCTGCCCCTAATTTTGGGAATACAGATTACCAAGAATCTGTAAGTGTGGGGAGAGGGGTATAGTGATCAAGAAGAGGACACTGGCAGTCCCAGAGTTTCTGCCTGGGGCAAGCAGCTTTATATAAATTAACTTATCATAATTCTCACAACGACCTGATCCAAACCTTATAGGGCTTATTTTAAAAATAAGGAATCTAACACTGAGAAATGTTAAGTAACTGAACCAAAGGCCACTGCTAGAAAAGAGCAGAGATTGCATTCACTTCCAGGTCTGCTTGATTTCCCAGCCTATGCTCTTGTCACTGTATCATGCTGCCATGTCCTCACACAGAACTGTGAAGACAATGTATTGTATAAAATAAGTTCTCGTGGAGTTCAAAGTGGCACTCTTGTGTGCAGGATCTGTCCTTTTTCTGCTGGGTTAAACAGAATTTTTTTCATTATGATAAAGTGAGTTTCAGTTCTCTTTCACCCATTATACCTGCTCTATAATAACTATTTGAAAAAATTCATTTCAAAACAATTTGGATGCTTGGCTTGATATTCTATTTAGCCTACAGGGAAACTACTGGAGGTACAGATTGTTTCTGGCAGTGGTATTACAGGGTCCAGAGGGAGGAGGGGAAAGTTTATGATCTCCCCACCTGGAAGGCCCACAGCACAGTGGGAAGGCCCACCTCCTCACCACTGAGCACCAGTGGGTAAGAGAGGATCTCAGTGTGAACACCTCCATGCTGAGGGACTGAAAAAAACAGGGGCTATGGAGGCTTAATCAGGAAGTCTTCATGGGGAAGGTGAGTTTTCAGTGCAGAAACCAGTGTGACCAGAGGCAGGAAGGGATGTAACATTAGAGTGGGCTGTGCAACATTTAGCTCCAATTTCTACTTACTCAGCTCCCTGTACTGATTAATGATACATTAAAATAAAAGCCAATGCTTCTTTTTTGAATTCATAGTAATGGCTACAAAAGTATGAAACTAAATTTAATGTCATACATAATGTAAGAAACATCCAGTATTAAAAATTTGTTACCCAATTCTCTTAAAATAGCCAGTCTCACCTAGGATTTTTCCAATCTGATCCATTCTGTGGTAAAAACACTCACTTAGCTCAAAGAGATGAGGCCTTTGGAGCGATGTAATTACATATAAGCTCTGTTTGTGGTGGATTTTTTTCTGCTCTTAAAATACCTTTGCTATTATCACTGAAAAATGTTTTTGCTTCATCTAGACTTGTTAGAATTTCTCTTCATTATACCTTTTTCAGAAGATGTTTTACTTACGTGGTAAAAGCAGCATTTACTTTAGCTCCAAGGTAGTAAGAATAAAGTATGAACATGCCAATCATAAAGGCAAGAAACACCATAATGAAGAGGACCATGAACTTGAATATGTCCTTCACAGTTCTTCCAAGAGAGATCTGTAAGGGTCCAAAGCTCTCATTGGCAGGCAGGATATATGCGATCCGGGAGAAGCTGAGCACGACAGCTATGGCATAGAGGCCTTCAGATATGATCTGAGGGTCAGAAGGGAGCCATTTATCTCTGGCTAGAAAAAAGAGAGAGAGATTTAAAAATGCAACTTTCCATTTATTGCTAACTGTAAAATAAATATCTGAAGTAAGATCTACCGTGTAGGTACATGGGTATTATCTCAGTTGAAACTACTTTAGATTTATTAACTGTCTAGAAACATGAATTCTACCTTCATGTGGTTCTTTTAGTGGAAGAAACACTATTATAAAGATACTAAGCTGACTTTACATTGAGTAGAAACAGAATCAAGTACAAAGATGAAAAAGGTTAAAACACTTCATTAGACACAGACCATGTTCAGGATGCAAACTAACTGTCTTGATTAATTTGTCCCCTCAGTTACAAGACTACTGACCAGCTAGTTTGTCATCCTATGGGCTCAGCTGGCACAAAATTTCTTTTCCATATTTCATAGGGAAATTAGCTCACCTAACAGTTTATGCAAGTAAAATGTATTACAAGAAGTGAGACTGTCACTGAATCACAATGATGCTGTCAATGTGGTATTTAAGCAATATAACTTGCTCTTGGTAAATGTAAAATGCTACTGAGGTGCAAACATTTTAGATATAGATTCTAAATGAGGCCCTCCCACACCCCTTTCAAAGTCATTTAATAAGTTCACAGCAGTTACTGGATACTCATTTCCCTGGAAGGTCAGTGCAACACTGTGTGGTTCCTTTTGTGTGAACTGGGTCACTCCCAGAAGAATGGATGTATTGTATAGACATTTGCAACAACAATGAAAATTAACATTTATTGAATGTTTAGTATGCACCAGACAATGTGCTTTCAGTGCCCCTATGAACTTGATGTTACCGTTACCCTTTAATTAGACATACAGAAACCAAGACTTAGAAAGGTTAAAAACTTGATCAAAATCACACATATAATGAGTGAAGCCTGAAATTCACAAATTTCCCCCCAGATAAAAATCATTAGATACATATGAATAAATTTAAATAAATAGGCTGAAATAGTTAAGATATACATTACACAAAAATGCAATGTATGCTAATTATTTAATTACAAATGGTAAATATCTGCTCATTTGATCCAGACTTCTTGGTATATAAAAACTTTGCTTTCTAACAGTAAGTATAACATGTTAAAATTTCACAGTGTGTGAAATGGCATGTTACATTCTGGAGGCTTGTTCAGTAATGCTGCTGTACGTATCATGATGTAAGCCTTAATCTCACTTATAACGAGTTGTTCTCCACCAGCAGAAACACATTTAAACTTTGTATCTGAGTTCCCTTTTCTGTAACATGAGGGTTAGGCAATAATTTCTCAAGTCTTTTCCAGATTTAAGGTTTTGCAACAGTATGAAAATTCACTAATCGTGACTCCCCAGTTTGGCCTCAAGGAAAAGGAAAGAAGACTAACACACGTAACGCTGGTTTTTGCTGGGCAAGGAAGGCATCAGTAATGTTGCACACTGGATAGCAGCTGGGGTATCCCTGTTCTTCATGATACAGAGACGTTTGGCAGGAATTCCATTCTATGTCATGTTGAGGAGCACCACATCCTCCCCAGTATTTCCGCTGGCTTTCCACAGCTTACATTCATTCTCTTGGTCACTTTAGTTGCTACCTCCTACCTCTGCTGAGGTTGTGCTCACTTCACCTATACAGCAGTTTAGCACCTTTTGTTATTTTATCTACTCCAACTCATGCTCTCAAGGACTCATCTTTCCCACTAAGCAGTTTATCAAGCTGTCTTTTTTTTTTCTGTAAGACAATTTCATGTCCTAAGAACATTAAGGGTCATTATGTTGTTAGGCTTCAAAGTAATTTTCTCCCACCTTGCAACACCTTTTCATAGATTTGAAAACAGAGATACAGAGAAGTAAATTAACTTGAACAAAGTCACAGCACAAGGAAGAGTCATAACCTTGATATGAATCCAGTTTTGTACAGCTCTAGAGCTCATGTTCTCTCCACTGTCCATACACATTCAACACACAACCTCATACTAAACAGTCATTATTGGCATTTCCTTCCCAAATGTGGTTCCAACAGCTTTCCTGAAACATCAGATGACCCTGCAGCTAATAACTCACCATAAGTGAAATACTGTATCTCTGGTGGAAGTGTAACTTCACTGAGGTCACTCTCTTGGACATAACTGTCCACATACTGTTGTGCTTTTGTTGCTTGAAGAAAAGCTAGGAATCTGGCTGTGAAAGCAGCAATGAAGATGGAGAGCATCCCGAAGTCCAGCACATTCCACAACTGCAAAATATATTCCCTAGGCCCTTCCAGCCAGAGCTCCTTACACTCAGACCACATCATTCCTGTCACAACACATGGAGGGTACAGGTCAGTCCTCATGTAGAAAAAGCCCCATCTGTAAAGCCCCATACTAGGCACCACAGAGCACTGACTGACCAAACAGCTCCCTGAAGTCCTGGGCAGAGTTAAACAGAAAAAGGAGTGTGGACTAAAGGAATGATTCACTCCACCAGTTTAGAATTTGGAGAAACATGGCTCTACCTGTGGCACCAGAAATGGTGCTACTCATGCAGAGGGGTAGGGGCAGGAAGGAGGGAAGAAATAAGCAAGAAAAGCCCTTCCGGTCAAATGATTTGATCCCATGAGATTTTTAGAGGAGAGAGTGCTCCTCTTTATAAAATCATAATGGTTAATTATCAAACCATATTGATTGCTGGAGAAATAAGCCCCTAAATGACAACATACTGTAGACTTTTAATAAGAACAGTTTTCCAGTCATCCAGGAACACACATATCCTTCCCGTACTTTCCTCCCTCATTTCAGCTTCATTCTGGGAGGTGAAAAATATCACTGGAAAAGAAGAAACCCTTAAGCAAGAGGCCCTAGGACATTATGGAGAAACTGAAAGCAGAATATGCCATTCTGGGAGAAGAGGACAAAATATCCCAATTTAACAACTTGCCCTGACTGCGTAAGGGAAAAACGTGGAACTTTATAAAGAAGTGTAACGGCTCAAAATAAAATTCATAAAATAATTACTTGACCCAAGTTGAAGCCACAGGAGTGAATGAGGGGAGAACCAACCTATTAATACAGAAACTAAAAAGATACCAACAGAAACATTGGGTGAAGTAGAGAGAAGTAGACAAAAATTACTTTGCATTAGTGATTAATAGATAAACTGTTTCCAATCTTGATTGTTCTTTTTCTCATTGCTTAAATGGTTACTTTACCATACCTCTTCAAAACGTTCTCGTGAGGTGAAGGAACAAACATTTTGAAAACGGACATGCTCCTAAAACAAACCTCCGAAACTAAACCAATAAATGTTATTTAATCAGTTAATAGCCACTAAGTTATTTCACAAGTATTTCACTTAAATTATTTGTCCCAATAATTGCAGTTAGATTTCTGAAACATGGTATATTTAAAATTATGCTCATGTTATTCATAGAAGTTTTTATTAGTATAAAGGGATCTCTTTTAGCATTACCAAGCTGCCAAAGTATTCAGTTATTTTGCTATTCTGTTTATCTTATAATAGTGAAGTTGTCACCTTAAAATGTACAATAACATTTTAAGTAGAAAATGACAAACATATAAACATCATTTTTGGCAGATATTAGAATACTTAAAAAGGCTTACCAAGTACCCAAACCATAATTAGCATTTCAGTCCATGTGAACTGGGTGGTCTTCACCCTGAAGATCTGTTTGGGATAATCAATAACAGTGATATTTGGCAGCGTCGTGATGCCTTCAAATCTGTCTGAGGCATTGAACACAAGCAGACCCAGGAAGATAATGAAAGAAGCAGCATGTGCCACAAACTTCATAAAAGGGCTTCGCAGAATTTTCCCCAGCTGTAATAAAGAAAGAGAGAGAGAGAGAGAGAGAGAGAGGAGAGAGAAGTTTTACTTTAAAAAATTTGGCTTCAACTTATGAAAATTACTATACAAGTTGAAAACATAGATAAAATGAGAACAGTTTCAAAATTCTGCTTCTGTTTCTGAAGGGCAGAATTCTGCTTCTGTTTCCTCCAAGGATAATTTAAGAAGTCTTCAAACTTCATTGTTTCTAAATATCCAATTTGTCTTAGGTATCATACTGTTTTCACACATGCATTTCTGGAAATCATAAGGCATATACTGGTTATTCTTATTTTACATGCAAGACTATGCAATGCTCAAGTGATTAGAATCCAGGAAAAAAACTTTAAGTTTGTAACATGTAATTCTTTATTGCTTTAAAAGTGAAATGGTATGAGTTTGTAGACTTATTCATTTATAACTGAAATGCTGTGATGTGTTGGTAGCATATTATAAACCCTTTGAAGATTATAAAAAAACAAAAACCCTTACTACAGCAGAAGTAAATTTTAGTTCTCTCTTCTAAATGTTCCAAAATCAATTTGTGCTTTGTATGATATAAAAGAGGCAGAATATTATAATCAAGATAAATATTTGATCTGTTACTATCCGAATGAGAAGAGGGAGATACATAATAATTAAAACCCCTAAGTGGGTTAACTTAATTAAAGGTCATCCCTGAGTTTGGGAAATCATATAAATAGTACCAAAGCATTTCTAAAGTTCAGTTTATAATTATTTTAAGGTAAGTCCTTTAAAATCCCATGTGACATAATGTCCTTAAAAGCCCCATGTTCTAGTAGAAATGAAAAGCAATTCCTCCTGTCTCAGGGATTTTTGCAGTCCAACAGCTAGGTGTTTTCAGGTCTACATTTTTTAGAATCTTCTGAAGGAATGAACTGCTGGGGAACCTGACATGCACTTTCTTAAAGAATTTGGATAACACCACTGTTTGCAACTGTGCTTAATATACTCAGCCTCCAATGTCTTTGACAGCCTCAAATGAGTTGTCCTCCCATTCTCAGGTGACCTGTTTCTCGGTTCCACTGCAGTAGGGCTGTACCTCTTTCGCAGGCCAGCCCAGTCTCCTCTTTATTTATTAAGACAAATATTTGGCATAAATGTTAAGATAAATATTTATTTGACAGATTTATCAAAGCTATATACTCAAATCCTACTTTCAAACTCAGTCTGTGACCTTAAAAAGTACCAATGTTCACATTTTAAAGACTGTAACTTCAAATATCTTTGTATGTCCAGAACCTTAATTTGATGTCAACAAATAACGAAAGAATGTCAAGCGTTTCTGGGATTAACAGTGAATGCACACAGACAAATGTTACATTTTTCATATTAGACACAGAAAAATAAACCACACATTACATATCACTGTGCTGTTCCACAGATGCAAAGAGGCACATTCAGGGTAAGTCATCTCGAGTACAGCACATAGTGATTTCTTGAGAGATGCCAAGTCTGTTTCTCCTAAACATTGATCTCTTAAAACTTTAACTTGAAAAGAGAGCAGCATGCTTATCTTAGTAATGGGGTACATGGAGAGAATCTTGCTAGGTGGTCTTTTCACCCTAGGCTAGGTAGTATATACCAGGTAAAAATGTGGGCTCCAGAAACTACTCATTATCTACTTTTCCCTTCTCTGCTTGCAAGAGTTTACCACACCATTTTACAAGTGAAAATAAAAAATGAATGGACTTCAAGATGCCCACTTCAAGTCCAATAGAATATTTTAACTAATTAAGCTGTCCTAAGAGGCAAACGTTTACAGACCTAAGCTTTTCAATTAATTTCCCCAGCAAGGGATATGATTGTTGCTCCAGTGCATGCTCTCTCATTATTGATAGTTTTTAGTCTTTAGTGTTTACATATTTTATGAATACGTATTGTTTTGGTACTTTGCCATGATACCTGACAGAGGGACTAGGTTTAGTCATTAGAATTGATCAAAATGAAAACCTTCCTGCCTAAATTGCATGGGGAGGAAGCCATGTAGTGAGGTGGACAAATGCTCTCACACATATATGGTGCCTGTGGAGCAGGACGCTGCCTGGGGAGACTGCTGAGCCAGAAAGGTGGCAGCTTTCCAGGCTCATTTATAAGCGGCCTTGACTCATTTTGCCTGAAACTGCCTCTGATTTAAACAAAACCAGATTTTGGAATATAAAAGCAGGATTAAAGGATCTCAGAACAGCTGCTTCTCCTTGGCAGAGCCCTTTATTAACCTAATACAGATTCTGTTAGCATGACCAGCATTCCTTTCTGTATCTTGTTTAGGGGATCTCTAAGACACCATTAAGTTGACTCAAGTTGAGAGGGATGAAGGTAGTGAATAAAATGATTCAAGCAACACTAAACAGATAACCTAAAAAAATGTAAAGCTCCAAACCTAAATTCTACATCTTTTAGAATCTTCTGAAAGAATGAAGGGCTGGGGAAGCTGACACGCACTGTCTCAAAGATTGGATAATAATACCACTGCTCGCAACTGTGAGCAGCAGTGCTTAGTGCACCCAGCCTCTGATGTCTTTGACAGCCTCAAAAAATTGCTCTGCCCACCCCTGGCTAACAGCTTGGGTCCATTGCCCTGCCCACCGCTGGCTAAATGCTTGGGTCCACTGCCCTGCCCACCCCTGGCTAACTGCTCAGGTCCACTGCTCTGCCCTCCCCTGGCTAATGGCTCAGGTCCACTGCAGCAGGACTCTTCCCCATCCACAGGCCAGCCCAGCCTACTCTCTGTTTATTAAGCTGTCAATAGAATCAGCACAAGAGCTACTTCACTTGAGCAGCTTTTCCTCCTGTTCACCATGGGGATTTTATCTTAAAAACCTAAGTATTATATGCCTGCAAATGTGATCTTTCCCACTAGTCCCAAATCCTTTTTCATCCTTATTTCTATTGATCCACTCATTAAAAAGCAGAATTCATGTTCTTGAGTCAATTAACATTCAGGGTAAAAATGATAAGAGCCTTAAGTAGGAAGCTTGTTCCTTTTTCATCCCAAAAGGACACGGTACACCAACCACAGAGGAAATGGTGCAGAAAGCCTGTACCCTGCTGCAAGGTGCGATCCAGTAGCCAATGGCAAGGAGTGGAAGGCCCAAGGCCACGACCAGTACAACCAGACACTTGATAGCTATGGTCTGTTCCCGCAGGCCTGAGAGGTTCTCGTACCAGATTGTCAAGAGCTGCTGCTGGCAGTTGGGGTGAGCCACGAACTGTTGGTAAAGAGAAAGAGAGAGAGAGGGAGAGAGAGAGAGGTAGGTTACCATGCCATTGTCAACAGCTCAACTACTAAGCATGTCTGCATCCCAAAGATATTAATGCACATTTTTCCAGAGCATAGGCACTGGAAGGCTCTGGTAATATTCTCCTTTACTTTCCCTCCATTTTTCAAAACTGCTTCAGAATCAACAGAAGAATTAAAGAAAAAATAAGAAAGTAATGTTGATGTTGATTTTCATCAGAGTTCTTTTTGATTGAAAGTCATAATTCACAGACTGTTCTCTGGAATCTGGGTGGCCTGTGCTTTCCTTTGTGGAAATGTGTCCCATTTTACTGTCAGCTTACTTGCATTCAGTTCAAAATGGAAAAGGAAAATAGTTATTTTATTTATTATAGACTATAGCTAAGAGAAAATGTGTTATTAAGTTTCATGAGCAACTCCAAAAAGGCTGCATGTTATGTCCTCTGTGTATGTATGTAGCACCAGGGAAAATCCACAAAAGATGGGCAAAAGCCAATGAACCTGCAGGTATTATGCTTAGTCCATAGTTGCACTGCTTCCAGGAATGGGCATCAAATGTTACTTAACTCCTGTTTCAGTAATCTGTTCTCTTTTTCTTGTTGCCTTATTATAGGTCAAAAAATGCAAATATTTACCTCCAGCTGTCCATTTATAACTGTGATTCTAATAAGGAAAAATGAGTAAATCACATTTATTTCAGCCCTGCCATTTATTTTGACAGCTGATTTTGTTAAGTCATCAGCCTGCATCTATTTAGAAGGACTTGGGTTTCACTAAGGACCAATTCTTCTTCAGGTAGCAGAATATATTTGTAGGCAGGCACCACAAAGTTGCCCACTGGTAGCTGGATATGGCTTTCTTTGAATAGCCAGGTGTACTCTGCCTAAGCGTGGCAATTATTCAGTCACTCACAAATCAACTATGAGTGCCAACATATTTTGTGGACATATTTAGCAACACAAAAATCAAAGTATCACTGTCTTCTAAGAAACAGAATAAACAGTAACAATGAACCTGTTAAGAAGTACCTGTGAAATGTTTTCTGCAAACTCTGAGAGGCAAAGAAAGCAGCTGCATTTCCCATGGGGCAAAGGGTTTATTTAAATCAAGTTCTAGTTAATGATCTTAATGGTTCTTAATAACTCTAGACAATTCCTCAAGTTATGTGGCTATTTATCAATAGTGTATCTACAAGGAAATGAATGAGTTTCCACTTGCTAGTATAAAGTTTCCCATCAGCTCTTTTAATAAAGAAGAAGAAAGAAAAAACAAAAAGAAATTTTTATCTCCCAAGGTAGGCAGTGGAGGTACAATTTCCCCCAAGGTGCCCACGCTTGCCCTCAGTGGGCACCCAATCTCTGGGAAGGCCACTGGTGACCATGCCACTGTGCAAGAGACCATGATGACCCACTGACAGAAGTGGTCAGGATGAGTTTACAAATATTAGATTTGAAATATATCACTGAATTTTTCTCAATAATACAGGATTTGGAGATTTAATAATAGTAGGACTTAGAGATTCAAAGTACTAGAAAAGAAGATGCTTTGTTTCTTGCTTGATGGGTTCAGTGTGAAAAGTGTATTTCAGCTTATAAGATCCTTTCAAGTTTTAAAAATCCCAGGTCCTGATGCTCATTGGTCATTGTTAGCTACTAAGTATACATTAGATCTTCTTTCCAAACTTAAGATTTTGTCACTCTCCCAAAGTTCTAATTTTTGAAAACAGTAAGATTAATAGAGTCATTATTTGAACTCATGATAAAATATAATCAAGGTTGAAGGCTTGCTGGGGTCTACATGACAGCTTCTAGGATTTTGACTCCCACTCTGTCCCTTTACTCTTTTGGATCATCTCCCTCTTGCCTCAACTGTTCTTCTGTGTTAAAAATTCTCATCTGTTCTATAGTTCTTCAATGTCTGTCTCATTCACCCACCCATCCATGCATCCATTCATCCATTATCTCTTCAAAATATCATAAACCCCTTCTTTGAGCCAGGCACTATATTAAGTATTTGGTACAAGAAGATGAAAATGGGAGCATCAATTGCATTAAGGGATAAGCAATCCCTGTTCTAAGGCATGCAATAAGCTCTCAATAAATGTAAAATAAAAAGATATTATAATGGAGAATTGGGCTCCATCTGCTTGCCAAGATAAATAATCAGCTTTTAAAATAGTACTGATTCGAATGTTGGTTCAAATATCTTGATGTTTGGAAGATCTGCATTTGTGGGAAGCTGGATAGAGGCAAATAAAAGGCAGTCCTGTGACTTCAGCCAGGCTCAGTTTAGGATGGGGAACGGTGAATTCAGGGGAATCTACAGATATACAAATCAGATCACCACTTGGAAAGTCAACATGCACTTTTTTATAGGCTAAGGATTTCTGTAAGACAAAAAATCCCCACAAAGAGACAGGTGGATATACATCCACATGAAATTGAAAGACATATTTCCCTTTCGTGAGTGGCTAGCTTTTCTTAGATTTTAAGCTTTTGAAAACAGAGATTAACATCATAGTATGGCTTCCTTTCTTTGCTCCTCCCCAAGTTAATCTTTAAATTTGAAGATGTGCTGTATGGCATTAACTACTCTGCATAAATTTACACAGCCCTCAAAGACTTGATGAAAATCAATTCTTTCCATATGGAATTCTATAGTGATCAATCTTTGACCCATTATGACTTGTTCAATACAGTGAAAACTGAATATATGTAAAATACTAGCCAAAATTGTGGTGTTAGCATTTTATTTTGTTACACTTTAAAATTCAGCTCAACAAGTATATTTTCTATACTACGAATTGTACTTTCTTCTTAACTGAGATAACAATACACTGCCATATGGTGTCTGCTGATTCCTTTTAATCCACCAAAAGAAAACACAAACAGATACTTTTTCCCAATGATTTAAAATCCTAATACAAGTACACAAGGACCACTTAAAAAAAGAAAAGAAAACCAATACAATAGTAGCAAGTGAGGGCAAAAAAGCTAATCCCTTTAGGAGATGAGTTTTGCTCTTTTCAATGACTTCAAAATAGGGCAGTGACCTTTATCTCTTAAAACTGATTCACCTCCTTAAAAAAAAATCTCCTTACACTGCCATACCAACCATAGCCAGCTGGATAAAATTTGTATGCTGTTTCTTAACTTCAGTGAACCAGCAAATTGAAATCATTACAAAAATAATACCCTTATTTGAGGCTTTCTGACTTAAAGGGAGAATGCTTGACATATGAGAAAATCCCAACCTTTCAACGAAATGGAATTACTGTAGCATTGAGAACAAACATTTTTTCCTCTTGCAAATGACTAATATGGTAAACTGAACCAACAATCACAGCAGGCCAGGGAAAAACAATTAGATAACTTACAATTTAAAAAAAATTCATGTTACACAGTATTTTTATCGAATCAGCCTTTACAAAAGTGACCTTCATGGGAAGGCTGTTGTGCAAAAACATGGTAGGAACGCATTGCTTTTGTTTTCAGTTGACATTGTTGGGGCCACGGTTTTATAATTTTAGAGAGAATATCTTGTGAATAAAAACTAGACCATTCAACTTTTTAAAGTTCTTTGAGCTGTGAAATATAAACCAAAAACTTACATTGTACAAGTTCTCTGGATTTCAGGCCCACTGAATGAAAATGTACTGTTATCTCTTGGTGCCTAAGCAGAAACCTGGCCATGAGGGTGCACACTACTGGGCTCAAGACAGTGCTGGCCAGCACATCCACCCCAAAGTCTCTGTAGTGTATTTCCCACTGCTTCATTGCAGTGCTTAATTTCTGGGCTTTCTCTACATGCTTTCTGCATCCATAGTGGACAATTTTATGTATAATATTGATGCATGTCTCTTTTCTAGATGATTTCTATAGTTAACTCTAATCCCACTATGGAAGAAAGAAGAGGTCAAGGAAGAGGAAATCAGGAAATGATCTCTTTCTCAAGAGCCTATGTTTCTAGATTCGATCATCTACCAAGTTCTAGTATCTTTTATCTTTGTCAAGGGCTTTCTTACAATAAATATAGCTCACTAGTAGTGGGTAAAACTCCCATTCTTCCTATGGGGGAGAGGGGATTGATGCTCATCCTCAAGATGGAGGTACAGCAGAATTGAAGTCAGAGCTTTTTTGGGGGGTGAATAGTCCATTATTCTAAATGAAAGTAACATTTTTCTTAAAAGTTGATTTTCTTGTACTCATTAAAAAAAAAGAAAGTTCAACTTCTACTCTATTCTATTCTCTGTTGTAGAATAATGTGGGTAACTCTACAAACAATAATAATATTTACTATCTTTCCAGTTTCATTATTTACTCTGTAGATCCCTTGGAAGTGATTCTGGGATGAATCATCTTCAACACCCAGTCCCTGATAGAAAACACATTATTGTTTGTTCCCCATCAGTAGCATACGATTGCCTGTTTCACCAACAGCATTGAGAATTATCATTTTTTATTCTTAAAGGATTTGGGATAGGGGAAACAGTATTTGTATATTAATATGCATTTCTTTTATTACTAGAGGGTTTGAAAAGTTTGTTAGCTGTTTGAATTTTCTCTTCTGTAAATTACCTATTCAAGCCCTTTGCTTATATTTTTACAGGGCTCTGGAAATTTTCCTTGTAAATTTGTTTGTGCTGTTTGGATATTAAAACTATCGATCCTTCGTTAAGTTATAACTGAAAAATTATAACTTACTCAGTTTGCCCTTCACTTTGTTCATAATCTTTCTGAGGTACAGAGGTTTCAAGATGTATGTGGTCAATTTATTTATATTTTTGCTTTGTTATTTCTTCTACTGCTTTTATATTGGGAAGTTCTTTGTCACATAAACATTAAATTCATGTTCAGATTTCTCCTATTTCAGACTTTCATATTTTCATTATCTTGATTAACTGCCATGGAGCTCGCTAAGGCCTGGGTTGAAGTCACGGTGTGATTCCTAGGGAAGACCTGAGCTCTGGGGGGTCTGAGGCCAGACATAAACTACAAACTCAGAACCAGAGGTGGGAACAGATTTTGGGCAGATGACGCAAGAGACCATCTGAGTCTCTTACAGGACCTAAACAGCTTACTATTCCATAAAACTGGTTTCCCTGGTAGACTTATAGGTTGATTTGAATAAATATGAGTTTATTATGTTATCAGGAGGAAAACTCCATAACACATAAAGCTATTTTGAGATCCCAGTGCCTTGCAGGAAGCCATACACTACCTCAGTGCCACACTGGGTAGGGTTCACACATCATTTTAACCCAAGAGGTGGTTTTACTTTGGGCTAGAAATGAGATAATGGAAAAACGAGGCAGCAGAGGTAGGTAGGGGTATTTTTCTTCCTTGCTAGATGGAGATGGGTATGCTGAGTGAAGAATGATGGAAGAGAGAGAGAGAGAAAGAGAGAGGGAGAGAGAGGAATTGGAGCCTTTTTGGGCATTCTCAAATAGTATTCTTATATACATTTACTGAGTGAAGATTCCAAATGAAAGACTTTAACTAATATTCCTTTTACAGTATAAAACAAATGAAACCCAAAATACCTGCAAAGTCCTTTCAGTTCCAAATACATTTTTTTTGTGTGTGTGGTTTCCTGGTAGTTGACTGATAGCAAATTTATTATTAATGACACCTCATACATTGTAACCTACACATCAATTTATTTAAAATTAACATGCAAGAAGGAATTCACTGCACAAGACAGTTTGGTTAGCAGGAGCACCTCTGTAGATGAGCTGTCTCTGCTAATATGACACTTTGAAAGCAATGATAAATAACTAGCAACAACTGAAATCAATTCCCTCAGGTGCTAAAGAAAAGAGATGTGCATTGCAAGATCTGTGAATAAATGTTCAGTTTTCTAAAAACTGTTTAATATCAATCTTAGTCAAAATTGTCTATATTATTCAATATAGCAAAACTTCAACTAGTAAGAATGCTCAGAGAGAGGAGCAGTCGAGCCAATTTAATTATGTCAGAACTGGTAATTCCTTGAAAAGTTATTTTATTTCTGTATTTACTGAGAATCTGCACATTTTACTGTCTTTTTAAGCAGAGGGGAGATGTGTCATTAACTCCTGGCTAAAATCTTGTGAATATTACATGAGGAAATTCTCTATTTGTGGTGGAATTGTGTGTCTTTTTACAAAGGAAGAAAACTCTCTACATTGTGGTAGAATTGCTGTTATAGACTGCCAACATTTGCTTAGCTTCCACAGGTCAGAGACAGATGTGTGGGCCTATGAATTGGAAGGGGTCACATATAACAGGCAGGACTCAGGGCCTCCTTCCCACTGATGTGGGACCTGGCTGTCTGTAGCTGAGTCAGAATTGTTCTGTTGGGGTCACAGAAACTCCCTCACCAGGTCAGTCTGGGCCCAGTTCTGGGCAAGGTTTCTGGATGCATAGCTCAGATAAGCTTGTTCCTTTACCTCCCCTAATGGTTCTGTGAGCCTCCTAATATCCCTTAGTAAACTCTTTTCTGCTTAAATTGGCTATGGTCTGTTACCAAGGACCAGAACCCTCATCATGAACATGAAATCTTTCACAACAAAGAACTGAACTTGCTTAGGAGTCCTCCTTCTGAGGTTGAATTTTCATAGTGTAGAAAAGTTATTAGCTAATACTTATTGAATGACCACTGCATACTACACCTGTGCTGACTACTTCACATGCGTCAGATCATGTGATCCTCAAACAACTGAAAAGTCAGTTGTTACTGTTGTCCCTAGTTTACTAACGAGCAGACTGAGGCTAGACTGTTTAGGTGACTTGCCAGTGGCCACACAGGGAAGGTGTGATTAAGTTGGGACTTGAACCTTTGCAGGTTGCCTTCTTATGCATCATACCACACAGCCCAGAGGAGAGGAGATTGAGCTGTACACCAATTGACCAGTTCATAAAACCTAATCTCTCCTGATAATATATCATTTCTTTGTGCTTTATCATTTTCTCTTAAAATACAAAAAAATTTCAGTTATCTAACATAAGCTGTTAGATTCTAGATAACTGAGATTTTTATAGTGAAGCATCATAGCTACAATTTTCATGAACTAATTAGGTCCCACATAAGCACCAAATATAAAATATAACAGTTTATCTGCAATACCCAGAGTGAAAAAGTAACTGTAACTTATATTTCTGCCAACCTCATGACAGCTCCAAAGCTGTGACCTTGCACATGTCATTTCAGCTTGGTGAACCTTAGTCTCCTTGTAGAATAGAAATCTCATAATCTATTTTGCCTAAATGGATAGTATTGGCTTGTCACAAGGACTAACATGAGAATGTGTGTAAGAGTGCTTTACAAAAACATATACAATAAACAGATTATATTATTAACTGCATAGTAATGAACAGTTTACAGAGTTATTTTGCATATCTTAACCAATGACATTCCACCAAAAGCCAGAGATTGATAAGGGATATATTATCATCCTTTTATATGAGGAAACTGAAATTTAAAGAAGTTTTATGACTTATCCAAGGTCCAACACAGATAAAAAGTGGTAAGGATCATAAGTTAGATATTTGACTCACAACTTGCCATCAGACTCCACTTAATCTTTTTCACGAAAGAAAAAAATATTTTTTATCAGTAACATCTATTCTTATTATTAAAAAAAATTTCCTGAGATTATGACACAGTTGATATTACATATTTATTCCAAAATGGCACTGGATAAAAGTGGGTCACTTACCTTTTTGACTTCATACTTAATGGCAAGTTTGACACGACTCAATGAAGCTTTATGCCTATGCATCTCCAGAGGCTCTGCTGATTCCAGATCTCCATTCAGAATAGCTTCCACCTCTTCCGAGTCTCGGCAAAGATCCAGCACACCCACTACAAAGTCTTTGCATTGCATGGAGAGCTTCCGATAGTCATTCTAAGAGCAAGAGGTTGAGAGTTTAATACAAAGAGTTTGCTGTGAATCAGAAAAAGGCATCCTTTTCTCTGGTTTGGAAGCTTCAGACCCCATGTAGATGCAAGGTTTGTTAAGCTCGATAAAGACTGGATTTGCCCCCACCCACACCATTAGCCAGGACCTTCTGCCACCTGCCCAGTCATAAGTGACAGCACTGAAAACGGTATGTACATGTCACTTGGTCATATTTAAGAGATGCTGGCTAACCGCTAATGCTGAAAGACCAAAGGGTCAAAAAGAGTTGTATTTCTCTTGTACAGAAAACAATAGTTTTCTTAAAGCCAAAACAAAACCCTTTCTATAATGAATAGTTTTAAAAATGCTTATTTTCCTAAAGTGGCAATTGACATAGGCGATTGATTATACCTAAAGTAACTTGTCCAGTTTACTACCCCTCCCCTTGTTGGAGACATGCTTCTCAAGGTGCAGTCCTCAGCCACCCACTCAACAGCATTGGACATTTGTTAGAAATGGAAATTCTCAGATCCCAGCCCAGATATCCTGATTTAGAAACCGAGGAGCAATCTGTGTTAACACACTCTTCAGATGGTTCTGATCCACATTTATGTTTGAGAATGACTGGTGCATAGTGAATGTAAAAAGACGGACAGGCATGGGCACAGAGAGGTATTTTTCCTTGTTTGTCTGAAGGGCACATTGTCATGTAATGCAGAACTGGAAGGAGAGAAATGTCTGATTATATATAACTGAATTCTCCAGGGTTGCAGAATATCAATACCTGACAGAAAAATTTCCAGGCCACTGGAACTAACACCTTGCTAAAAATAATCTGTGAATCTTTAATTTCATTAGCATATTTATATAGTGCCATGGACTGGGATAAGGAAGTCAGTGGAAGCATTACCTGTTACCTTCTGAATGGAGCTCTATTTCTAGCCCATTGGTTCCAGTCAAGGTGTCAATGACTATTTCTTGGGAAAGTGTCTTACTTTCAGTAACCCCAATTCCACTTCTATTTCACTTCTATGGCTTTTAATTAAAATTTTAGCTCTTAAGAAAGTTAACCAGATGATAATCTAATTTGGTTACATTAGAGGAAAATGGAATTCCTCATTTCAACATGTTCTGAAATGTATGTGTCTAATAACTAAGTGACACTTAGCAAAGCAGAATTTCTGGGCTTCCAAAAATCATACTTAAAAAAAAGACATGAAGAATTTTGATTTTTTTCCCTTTAAATAATTAATTTGATTTGATGGGCAAGAAATCATGCCACCAACTAAAATAAACAAGAGGAGAGACTGTTTAAAGGCCACATAGACTAGAAGAGTTTCCATTTCAGATATCAGAAATTCAGATAAAGAGCAGTTGCAGTTAATCCTTTTCCCCTTATAAGGGAACAGATAAAATGAATAGAAACTTCAATCTTTGGTTTCCATTCAAGTTGGTACCATGCAACTGATAAAATTAATAAAATGTTCAGCCTCTGGATTCTATGCAGAGTGTCAGTTAAATATACATCTGCCTTCCATTCCTGAAAGACTAATGAAATATTTTATTATAGGATCCAGAAGAAGTATTAAATCCATGTCTGTTTCCATATAAAGCTCCTCTTTTAATACATTTTTTAAAGATGAAATTTCCTCAGGTTGTGCTTCAGTTCAGACTGTTCTGTAAGATTTGGTGCAACATAGGATGGCTGTTCCTCCATTGATCAGAAATAAAAGAGTATTCTCTATGCTTGGTGAAAACTTAGTAACCACTTCTGCAGTAATATCTAAATAATGACTCATTATCTTTAAAAATTATATTTTTTGAATTGTCCAGTCTTAAAGAATCTTATGTGATTTTTTTCACATGCACTGAAAGACAGGTAAAAAAAAAACACCCAAACTAGTAATCATACAAATTGCAAGGACAACACTTTATTTTTGTAACAATTTAAACATTCCCTGCTGGAAGGAGTCTGTTGTCCAAGTACAGAAAATCATCAGAGCTGGAGATAATGGGGATTTCTTCTCTTGCAGGCATGAGATACCACTTTGTCAATATTTGCAGAGCTCCCAGGGAAAGATGGAGAGCTCCGGCTGTGACAGCTTTTCCTTGCAAAAGGAACTATGGAAAGTCTGCGTTGTACCACAAGGTGAGTGACTATTAGTTATACCATCAGATCCTGCCTCATGTTACTCCACAACTCAGACTATTTGATCTACACTCTCTTATAATTTTTCTCTCAATTTAGTTTTGTTTAATCACCTTCTACTATTCCATTACCATGGCCCTCCACAAAGTTACCAGCTGGACCTGCTGCCCTCTTTACAGAGCAGGGACTCAAAACCCTGAAGACCTGCCCAAGCCAGAGAAGGAACAATGAAGCTCAGTACTCATCACAACTGGTTTACAGGTTTTAACACATTTATTTTAATGTGTATGGTTTAATTATCATTCTAATCCTTTTTTAATCCTTAAGACGAAAATTGAAATTCAATGCTAAGCAGGCTTGGTTCTGTCAGATCCTTTTGCTAATAATGGAAGAGTCAGTATAGTGTAGTGCTTAAAAGCCTAAATCTGAAGCTAGACTTTCTAGGTTTAAATATTGCCTCTATCCCTTACTAGCTGTGTGACCTTGTGGAGGTTACTTAGCCTCTCTGATGAGACTAAGCCTACCTAATATTGCTATTGTGAGTAGTAAATGCTTAGATTGGGCTTAGCGTCCATTAAATACTATAGAGGTTCTTCAACGTTACCATGTACAACATGTTAGATGGAAGTTCTCGATTTTTTCACTTGTAAAAGGAAAGGTCTGTATAGTCAAAAGATTCCTAGAGTATCTTCTTGCTATAAAGTGCTATCTTGCTTTTGAATTACATTCATTTTCCTCTGCCTTACAGCTTTACTGTGTTATAAGTTGAAATTGATTTTTTACTTTAAAGAGAGGAAAACTAAGGCACAGAGAAGGCAAGTTGCTTTTGCTTCTTTTTTTTTTTTTTGCAAAAGAGTATATCATTGACTCAGAATTAGGAAATTTTACTATGCATTCTCAAAGCTTAATAAATGACTACCTCCCTTGCCATTGACATTTGGAAGATTAGACATACAGTCCATCCTATCCAATACTCTGTTTCTCAGAATAGCTTCAGACAGCATTTATACATCCAAAATACTTCTTTAATAACCTGTCACCAAGATGTCCTCTATTAATTTATCTCCATCTATATCCTAGAATGTTCAATGTCTTGGGGGTAATGACCTTCATATGTTTTCAGCACCATGCCTCCTGTATTCTTAAAAAAAAAATCACCTCTTTTTCACTAGGGAACATATTTATTTTTTCATTTCAAGGCTAGTACTTTGAGCTCAAAGTCTCTATGGAAAGAATACAGTGAACACCACAGAATAGGGCAAATTAGGTCACCTGCCTGCCTCAGAAATGAGCTCTGCGGCCCCTGCCCTTGCAGAGCTCAGAGTCCTGGAGTCAGTATGTGAAAGCTCTATTTTCTCTGTTTCAAGCCCTGATAGATGGACATGAGCGTGGGATGAGAGGGCAAAGAGGCTACAGGAAGGCAGATAAAAAAGGAAGAAACAGGACAGGTAAGAATGGGAAAGAAAAGGAATATTTGATCAGGGGAGAGAGACTATAGTAGTCCTTGTTGACTATAACTTCCAAAGACCTGTCTGTATTTTGGCTCAGAGAGGGTTATGCTACACACGTGCTTTCCAGTTAATTGGGAAAAAGCAACTGTGAGACTTAGATAATTTTTGCCTATCCTTTGACATTTGGCAACTTTATGGGTGCCATCTTAGCTGGGTTTTCTCCTCTTTTTGCCTCTTTACTTACAATATTTCCCCACTTTTGAAAGGTTATCAGAAGTGACTCTTTAAGTCAGGCTAACAGAGATTCTAAGTATTATCAATATAGATTTAGCTGCCTTCAGGGGAAAATTATGTATCACAAGTTTTCTTACCATGGCTTCACTGAGATGACTTCTCTGGGGAGAGCTGTGAACATCTCTATCTTTCATAAATTAATAAAACACACTCTTAGGGAATATTCCCTTTTGTAGAATCTCTTTTACAGACTTGCAGTATATTTCAAGCAAAATGAGTAAAAACAAGGTTTAAGTAACATTTGAAGTAGTGACAAATAAAAACATCTAGAATTATATTTTCTATTACTATGTCAAAATAAAGAAGTGATATTTAGAACTGTTGTGTTCTAAATGCTTTTCTATTCTAAGCAGAATTTGAAGTTTTCAATTTTCTCTGAGTTCTATATAAAAAAATACAATTCATAGTGGGCCCAAGGAAATAATTCATATTAGGTCCAAGAAAATAAATCTTTTCCAATACTTTATAATTAATCTCTTCAAAGGATATAGATATAAAGTGATATTTATGTTCTTCTTTGTATTCTCCCACATTTTCCAAAATTCTTACAATAAATGTGTAGCTTTTACATAAAAAAAAATTTTAATGGACTAACAAAATTACACTAAGGCTAGATCTCACCAGGACAAGATGACAGTTGATGAATCTCTAGGGAATTGGTATGTATGGAAGGGAAAATAAAATACAATGCAAACTTTCCTACCATTTTTGTGCAACTCCTTAACCTGAATTATACTGCTAGCTGCACTTGTATAAATCTCATTTACTTAAGAAAAATTGTAATAAGATCTGAAAGACAGAATAATCACTCTTTCTGTGATCTGATACCATAGTACTAAACTAAAAAAAAGGCAAACTCAGCATCTAGAAAATAATTCAAGGAGTTGATGTCTACAATCAATCTTCTTAGATGCACAATAGGAGATAAGAATCTGCTGAAAAAGACTGACTTTCACCAGAACTATGAACTCTCCTTTTACCCCAAATTTATAGGTAGAACCATTCAAAATGCATAGGAGGGTGTAGTGATTGAATTAAAATATAAAAATGTTCTAGCATTAATATATAATTTTATAAAAAATAAATAATACTGCTTGACTGGAGATGACATCCAGGAAAAAAGTTCACACACATAAATCCTTTAAAGCAAACACTTTGCTGTCCTTGTATTTCTGGGTTGACATGATGCCTATGGCTCACCACTTTGAATATACATTTGTGGAATTCAGGGAGAGGCACTTTTGTCATATTAATGAAACAGACTTTAGTAGTATTTTATACTAGTCCTTTGTCTTGAAATCTCACAAGTTTTACAAATGTTTGGGTTAAAAAACAGTGCATGCAAAACTAATGCCACTTCTGTGTTGGGTGCCACCATACAACTGATTACAAAAGAGGAGTAAGCATTTGGAAGAGAGATCAAATTATTCTTCCTTTTAACAAATGGGGAGAAATCTTGTGTTCTACTTAACGATTGATTATAGATAGAGAAGCACCATAATTATAGCTCTCTGAGGAAGTATATAACCATCTCAAGAGCAAATTCATCACACCACCATGCTGAGAGGGGAAGAACATCAGATCATTTCTTAACAATGTTCCCTAAGCCTCATGATTCTAAATCCACAGGGCAAAACTGACGGGGGAGCAAACTACGCAAGGCGCCAGGCAGCAGCCAGGAAGTGGCTAAAGGGCGCAGGGAGCCGAGTTGGAGCGTGGAGCTTACCTTGAACTCCTTCTCTATGTTGGCCAGTTTGGCCAGCTCGTTGCTGAGCTCCAGGGCAGTGAGCACGGGGTCCTCACTGGACAAGGACAAGTACGCCGGGCTGGCCAGCCCCTTGTAGGCGTTGATCCTCGAGCGCGAGTGGCTGAAGGAGTCGTGCCTCTGCTTCTCCGTGCAGTCCCCACACTTACAGAAATAGTCGTGTGGCCGCTCTATCCTGGCGCCCTTCATCAGCAGCATGTGCACCACCTCGTACTTCTGGCAGTGCGCAGCCAGGATGATGGGGGTGATGTCGGGTGAGAAGCGCGTGCCGTCCTCGTCGTAGGCGTAGAAGTCGTCGTCCTGCAGCTCCTGCTCGCAGGGGCTCAGCGTCAGGCGCTTGCTGGCCGCAAAGCCGGGGTGGTTGAGAATGGCCTCCACGATGCGCACATAGCCCTTGCTGATGGCGAGCAGCAGGGCGTCGCCGATGCGCGCCAGGTTCTCCTTCTTGAGCAGCAGCTCAGTCACCTCCAGGTGCTCGTTGCCCACAGCCAGCTGCAGCGCGTTCTGGCCCATGTAGTCCACGCAGTTGACGTTCAGCGTCCTGGACTCCTCCAGCATCTTGCGTACCACGGGGATGTTGCCATACTCGGCGGCGTCTAGGAAGCGCTCCTCCTCGGCGGTGAGGCTGGTGCCCCGGTCATTGAACATGAACGCCGGGCCCCGGACAGCCTGGCGCCGGCCCTTCTCCCGCATCACTGTCTTGCGCCTCAGAGATGGGCTCTCCTCCACGGACCTAATTAGCAGCAGTGAAAAACAACCGTAGAATATTAAGGCATTTTGCTTCCTCCCACATACCAGGTCCTTTCTGGAGAGCAGTGCCCACCGCAGACCTGTGGCCCGTGGGCAGCTGGGGCAGTGGCTAACAACTCTTCTGAATATACTTGTACCTAACTTGGTCTGTTTGAACCCAGAAAGGAGCTGGTAGCCCTTCAGAACAAGAGTTGTGAGCATTTAGTAATGTAGATATTTGTCAAATCACTATGTTGTGCACCTGAAACCAATATAGTATTGTATATCAACTATACTTTAAAAAGCAGAAGAAGCTGGCATTCAGAAGGGATAATATAATAAATAGTTTCCAGACACCCGGACCTCCCTTGTGCCACCGGTTAAGATGGAACTCACTGTACCTGTGGAAATAACCTTACTTCTCTTAAAAGTCTTGAAAATAGAGGCTAGCAGGTACTTGGCACCAAAGCACTAGACTTGAAGGCTAAAGAAAGTAAAAATTTCAAGAATTAGGCCAGAACAATCCTCTTAAGACATTGAATATTTTTAACTAAATAAAGTCATGGAAAAAAAAGTCCATTATATAGGCCAAGGATCTTAAGTTTGTCATCTTTTTCGCTTAAGGGTATCCTACTTCCCAGTCCCCCCATAAAAACATTTTTTCAGACAGAGACAAGATTTTGCAATTATAAACTTAGAACATCAATCTAGATTTTCTGAAAATAACTTTTCAATAAGAGTTCCATTACCAATACATTGTTGCCTCTTTGAACTAAAATGAAATAGTATGATTATGGTTTAAAAATCACTGGTATTATTTTGAGAATGAAGCTACTGGGAACCAATTGTATATCTAGAACAATGTGTACTGAAATCCTAACTCCAACATTAGTTAAGATTTAGCTGCATGACATTAATTGGTATGTGCAGCAATTTGAGTTCATATTTTAATTTCTGTGATGCAGGGTAAATAATTCCATTTCTTTGGGCTTCCTGACCCCAGGTGTAAAATGGAACTTTATAAAGCATTCTAGATTTTCCCCATAAGCCCATGAGTAAAAAGCTTTTTTAGTTCTGAGTCTCTGAAAAGTGATAATAAACATAACTCTTAACACTGTGATTATTTTTAATAATTCGATGGCTATTATTATAAGTACAAATCTGCATTGTGTGTATGTATGTGTCAGTTTATGTTGGTATGGTGATAATTTTTAACTGGACAAGAATTTGGAAATAGCATTTACTGAACTGCACAGAAGGGAACATTGTTTCAAGACCAAACTTCATGACAAGGATTTTAAACAAATCTTATAAGTACTGTCATTGTAATAAGTATGTTTTGTTACTATTAATGGTACTGACTTTACTGGGTTAATATTTTTACTATTAAGCTACAAACTGGTACTCTTCAAATGGCTAGAATTTCCATATTATATAAAAGATTACCCTTGATAGCATGCTGACATTATCTATATAGTCTGTATTCTACAGAATAGATCTACAACATACAGAATATATATGCAGAGTATATATGTCTGAAGAATTCCAATCTAAGATGGGTTGTCTTTGGGGAAATAAACTCATTATTAAAGTGTTATATCTAAACCGAAAGGGCTTCTTATCTAATGATCGCTACCTACAAAGAGAATCATTGTTAAAAATCTCACCTTTCTCCCCAAAGAGCATGCTTTAAAAACCCTAGAAAATGATTCATTCATGAATTTTTTTCTTTGCATTTCTTAGTATTTTTCAGTTTTTCATTTGTGTTTTTGGGAACCTGTACCTCTATATTGCATATTTGAGTTGAAAAGTGGCATTTTAGTACTATACAACATGAGTCACATGGAGTCATTTTGATTTTGTCTTTAAGAGATTATAACACTTAGTTAAGTGTGAAGTCAAATTTCTCAATTAGAACAAATTATACTGTTATTTCAAAATAGAAGAGCTGATCTAATAGTCAATCCAGATAGGAAGTATCTTTTTTGTTTAAAGTTTCCTTACAGTGTTGAGATAAGCTTCATTAATCAGACTGATAGAATGGTTTGAGTTACATTTAATTCCGTTTACCTGTAATGCATAAACATGGGCCTGATCTAAGCTGGACATGACAGTGCATATGCTCTAGCATGAGACAAGAGGGAGGGATGTGGATGTTTCACTTTAGAAATGCTAACACTACAGTTACCCTGCCAGACCTTCTCTTACTTCCAGATCCCTTGTCACTGGGCTGATTCATTGGGCATGGCACACGTACACTGTGCAGGGCCTTCTTTCTGGTAAAAGTGCTTGGGATATCACAGACCAAAATCAGATACTCTACCAGTGCAATGTGCAAGCTCTTTCACAGCTGATACGGATGGCTGGTAAAATCTGACTGCTATGGACTGAACTGTGTTCCCCCACAAATCCATATGTTGAAGCCCTCACTGCCCACGTGATGCTATTTGGAGATGAGGTCTTTGGGAGGCCATTAGGGTTAGATGGGGTTATAAGGGTAGGGGCCTCATGATGATATCAGGGCACTTGTAAGAAAAGACAATGAAGAGCACCTTGTCTGTCTCCCTCCCTCCCTCCCAACACCCCTGTCTCTCTCTTCTCACTTGTGAGGACACAGTGAGACAGCTGCCACTGCAAGCCAGTAGGACAGCTCTACCTAGAACCTGACCACACTGGCACTATGCTCTTGACCTTCCAGCCTCCAGAACTGTGAGAAAATGAAAATGGGAGAAAATACATTTCTGTTGTTTAAGCACCCTGTCTGTGGTACTTTGTTCTGACAGCCCAACTGAGTAAGATGTTGACCATACATCTTCAGGTAAAAAGAAAAAAATTTCTTCATGCTTTATGGAACAAACTTTGGGTTTTTAGTATTTGTCCAAATGCTTAAGCAGATAAAGGTTCTTTCTGAGATATACTTTTGTATACCCAATGGCAACCCTCTGTTCCATTCTGTTTAGAGGCAAAAATGCAAGTAACGCTCCTCAGTTTTCATAACTTTACAATCAACACTTCTGAACTCTAATAGTGTTTCTCTAAGTGTGACTTGAGGAGCACCTGCCTCAAGATCACTTGGAGTGTCTGTTAAAATGCTGATTTTTGGGTCCCATTCTACATGAACTAAACCAGAATCTTTCAGGTGCAGGGCTGTGTATTTTAAATGAGTACACTTTGCAAATCATACGCAAATTAAAGGTTGGGAACCTCCAGGATAAAAACAATGAGTCCATCTGAGATCAATGACCCCAGATTAGGAGGCCTTTATACACTTGTCACATTGGCCCTGTCAAAAGGTAACATGTCTGAGATGTGCAGGTTAATGGACAAACAGCCTTACATTCATTCAGGTTTTCTGTGCGTTATCATCATTTCAGACTTGGTTTCCAGGAAGCTCTTTACCTGAATCACAGCAAAGAAGAAGACTGCAAAATGCCTCCACTATTTAGCTTCCGCTTTCGATGCCCATTTTAGGGACTTGCTTTAAGGACTAATTTTTTTTTAAGTTGCTGTGTCTTCTTCAAAAGTGCATTCAAGGAGTTAAAGAGATTATTCACTGTGGTATCAAGTGTACCTTCTATGAGGACTCAAGTAGTCATCCTAGAATTGTGTATCAAGAAGCTTTTCTCTCCAGATGAGTTTGCTTTCTTTAATCAAATAGTATAAGCTATAGAACTCTTATTTGGTTTTTTTTTGGCTCAGGGTATCCAGGAATTTAGCCTAAGAGGGCTCAATTATCATCTCTATCTTATCTTAGATTTCTGGCAGTCTTTCCCCTCCTCCTAAATGATAAGTCACAGAGATTTTAAATCAATAATCCTATATTCTACATGTTTTAAGCCTGATTTACAGTAATCTAAATTCTTCTTTAAAAAATAGTATTAATAAATATCCCCTTGTATATGCCACCACTCACACATACCTGGTTGGTAAGGTTATGCTTTATTTATCATTAACCTGTGTCCCAGAGAGAGTAATAATAAATATCTGTTCAACTGAGTTCCCAAATCTCTTCCTGAGGGCCCTGTCTTCTTTCATGACCTCAGGTACCACATATATAACTATCTATTCCCTGGTGACTTTAAAGTACCCAACTCACCTTCTCCCATAAGTCAGCACCCGCTTCTAAAATTTCTATCTCAGGGTAGCCATTCAGGTTTAGCAATTTCAAGGTCATCTATGACTCACTGTCTTGATCCTGTCAGTCACAACATTCTGAACCTTCTCCTGCAGAATGTTTCTTGTACTGGACCCTTCCTGCCAATTCTCAGTGCCAGCACCAACTTCCAGATCTTTAACAAATCATAGCTGGTTTAATATGTATGTTTTTCATCCACTATCATATTTAATTCTCATAACAATGCTATGAAGCAGGTATTATTTCAGTTTCATAAATAAGAAAACTGAACTCAAAGGTAACTGCCCAAGATAACACACATAGTAAAATGCAGAACCGGGATTCTGCCCAGGGTCTGCCGAGTCTTCCCAGTGCTTCATGCGGCTCCTGACTTTCCTCTTCATATCCCACAGCCATTCCAAACATCTCATTCTTCTTAAACTCTGCTTTTACTGTCACATTTCTCTAGGAAAACAAACGAACAAACAAAACCTTGAATCCTTTGGCTGGCTTTCAGGGATGTCCACAGCCCACCCCACTCTGCATATCTAAACTTCCTTTCCTTGCTCCTCAGAGTCATTCTTCACTGTCCAAAAACATATTATTCTGCTTATTTCTGTACTGTTAAGGGTATTTTTTAAAAATAGGAAGGTCTTTTCTCTTTGGCTTACAAATAAAAGATTTTAGCCCTGGTTTACTCAGGACATCTCTACCTGTGTGTGGGGGTGGAGGTAGGGTGGGGACACAGATGGCACAGTATAGAGTTTGGGGAGAAGTGGAAAAGATAACTTTTAGAGGTGTGCAAAGAGAAAGATCAAGGTGATTTTCAGCTTTCTGGAAGAAACATGGGATTTTGCAGGCACGATTTGGAGAAAAGGGAAATTGTCTTG